TAGGCGTCCTTGTTCAGTGAACCGTTGCAATACATCTGGTTGTGGCAAGAGGGCAAAAGGAGCACACGGGTCTAGGGGGGCATGGAAGTCCCTGGATTTCAAGATGGTGGTGGGGGCAGATGCGCGTCCTTGTTTTGAGGAGCCGTTGCAATACATCTGGTTTGAGGCAATGAGGGAGATTTGGAGGATACGCAAGAGAAACACAATTGGATAATCGCTAAAAGGGGATTTTAGCAAAAGGATCAAAGATGTCGATGGAATGATATTGATTTTGCAGACCGCTAACAAACGATAGTAGCATAGTGTGATGCTATGTATGTGCACTTACTATTGTTCCACCACCACGTGAGGTGCATCACCATGTTACATAGTTTGACGTATTGACCCAATATCACCCAGCGAGGTGACATTGAGTCAAAAGCGAAAGTAACCTGTTGTGGCGATAGAGGTGTGTTGTGTCCACTTACTATTGTTCCACCACCACCGGGCGCTGTGACGTATTGACCCGATATCACCGAGCGAAGAGTGAACTGCCATGCATGCACCATGCCGCACATACACCATGCCATGCGTGCGCAATGCCATGCATCACCATGACATGCAGGATGTCATATTCCATGCCATGCCATGCATGCACAATTTAATGGAGGGAACAAGAAACATTGACAAAAACCCGATTGAATCTAAATGCTATGTGTGCCAACATTGAAGTGGAACTGCGTTTGGAGGGGGATGGGGGAGCAAAACCATATTATGGAGGATGGAGGATGGGGAAGGGGGATGGAGGGGGTGCAAAAACACATTATATGCGGATAGTTGAGATACTTCCCTCCATCCCCCCTACCCCCCCACCCCTCCCTCCCCCCCCCCCCCCTCCCTCTCTTTTCTTGCCTCCCTCCCCCCCTCACCGTCCCTTCCCTCCCTCCCACTCCTTCCCCTTTGCTCCCCCCCCCCCCCTCCGCTCCCCTCCCCCTCCCCTCCCCCCTCCCTCCTCCCCTCCCCTCCCCTCCCCTTTGTCCTCCCCTCCCCCCCCCCCCCCCTTCCTGCCCACTCACCCGGGTGCCATCACCATAGCCAGCAAACTTGAACACCTCTCTGTTCATCCACGGCTCAGTCATGAGCCACGACCCCAGATTCGCCCCGCGAATCGCCGGCACCCACATGATCTCCCTCACGTCAAGCCGCTCCCAGTCGCCCGGCTCCCCCTGCCACCAGAACTGCGGGCCACTTTCGCCATTCTGTGAGATGTACCATCCATCGGAGGACTTGAAGACGATGTAGACCGTGTCGGGGATGTATTCAATGGTGAACACTGTGAGCGGGTCCGAGGAGTTGGTGGTTGTTTCCAGGAACATGGAGGGGGCCTTGGTTAGGAACGTGTTACTGGGAGTCAGGAACTGGAACTGCAGGGAAAGGGAGCGGAGAATGGGGAGTGGGAAGAAGATCACTTGAGGGGCGATTGGCTGAACTGCGGCCCCTTGTCGCCGTCCTGTGAGTGAGATGTACCATCCATCGGAGGATTTGAAGACCATGTAGACAGTGTCGGGTTTTGAGACGTCTCAAAAGGATTTGAAGACCACGTAGACAGTGTCGGGTTTTGAGACGTCTCAAGGATTTGAAGACCACGTAGACAGTGTCGGGGATATACTCGATGGTGAACACTGTGAGCGGGTCCGAGGAGTTGGTGGTTGTTTCCAGGAACATGGAGGGGGCCTTGGTTAAAAAGGTGTTGCTGGGAGTCAGGAACTGGAACTGTAAAAGGGGGGAGGGGGGGGGGGAGGAACAAGGGGATGTGGGTATTCGATGGTGAACACTGTGAGCGGGTCCGAGGAGTTGGTGGTTGTTTCCAGGAACATGGACGCTGCTTTTTGTTGGGAAGGTGTTGCTGGGAGTCAGGAACTGGAACTGCAGATGAAGGGAAAGGGACATTGGAATGGAAAGAGCAATGCACGAAGGAATGCAGGTCTGTGAGACCGCATCTCTAGGACCCGCCGCACATGGGCAAAATAAGAAACCCCCCACCATTGTTCTTACCTCAGTGTCTGAGATCCGAATGATGGTGAGCGCCTGTGAGGCAGTGGGGGTGATTGTGAGAGAAAACCATCTCTTGCTGCTCGCACTCGCACATGACATGGGCATACGAAGGCATTCCATCCCTCATACCTCATTGTCGGAGACCCGAATGATGGTGAGCGAGCGCCTGTGAAGCACTGGGCGTGGTGCTGACCCCATCTGTCACATCCGCACTCACATGGATATAAGAGCAAGTCATTCTGAATAAACCCCATCCCTGTTCTTACCTCAGTGTCGGAGACTCGAATGATGGTGAGCGCCTGTGAAGCACTGGGCGTGGAATAGACCCGGCCTACGCGCCCCTCCCAGTTCACCCCGTCTGCTGCCGCCCACCACGTGCCCCATGTCTTGGTGCGCACTATTATCTGGAGGAGAGAACAAGAGGAGGGGGGAAGGTAAGAAAGGGATTTCAGGAAAGAAGAGAAGAGAGCGTGTGGGGAGTGCTGCTGCCCACCACGTGCCCCATGTCTTGGTGCGCACTATCACCTGGCAGGGAGGGAATCAGGCAGGGATTTTTAGGGTATGATGGTGAGCAACTGTGAGGGACGGGGCGTGCTGCTGACCCGGCATGCAACGTGCCCCTCCCAGTTGACCCCCTCTGCTGCCGCCCACCACGTTTGCCACGTCTTGGTGCGCACTATCAACTGGGGAGAGGAAGATGGGAAGGGGAGAGAGAAGTCACAAGTATATGATGCATACCCCCTATCCATACCCATACCCCCATACCCATACCCCCTATCCATACCCGTACCCCCTATCCATACCCATACCCATACCCACCAACACCCATACATTACCCATCCCCTTTGGCTCACCCTAGCCCCGTGTGCCAGCTGGCTGCTGAGCCACAGCGACGTCATCTTGGGAACGCCGGGGGCGAGCGCGGGAGCAGCGTTGGAGCAGCACTTCCCCTCGCACCTTGGCCCGGGGGGTGGAGGGGGACTGGGGGGAGGGCTCGGCGGAGGGCGCGGAGGTGGCTTCGGGCTGGGGGGTGGGGGACGAGGGGGAGGGGAACGAGGGGGGGGAGGGCGCGGGGGGGAGGGAGGGCGAGGGGGCGGGGAACGGGGGGGGAGGCGGGGATCTTCTTGGCAGAGGCGGGGGGGGAGTTTTCTAGTTGAGGTGGCGGATCTGGGAGGGGGGCTTTTCTTAGTTGGGGGCGGTGCTCTGGCTGCTATTACTCTCCGATGGACGGTGGAGGAGGAGAGGCGTATGTCTCTGGACAGTCCGATGTGAGTGGAGAAGGAAGAGATGCGCCACGGCTCCTTTTGTTCTCTTTCTGTGTCCCCCCCCTCCTCCTCCCTCCTGCGTCTCATCCCCCTTCTCTTCCTGCTCCTCCTCCTTCCTCTTCTGCCCCTGCTCCGCTTGCTCCTGCTCCTCCTCTTTCTCCTGCTGCAAGGACGTGCCCTCTGGTATCCCCTCCATCCCCCCTATCTCCATACTTTCCCCCCTTCCCTCACTCCAGTCATGATGCCGAACCTTGTCCCCAGCCTCTTCAAGAGCCTCTTCCCGAACCTCTTCCCGAGCCTCGGCCGGGCGTCTGGGCTGTTGCACCTTCCCGAACGTCATGTGTTTGGCGGCATGAGCGGCCCAAATGGCCTCTATCTCCGACTGAGGCTCATCTCCCACTGGCTCCACCCATTGAACCCCCCCCCACCCCCCCAACTCGCCCCTTACCCTCCGAGCCAGAGCGTAAGCGGTTCCCGGCGTTCGGATCAGGATCGCAGCCCTTATTCTGCTTCCCCAGACACAGGCTCTCGAGCCATGGGTCTGTCTCCGAGTCCTCTGGTTCGTCCTGGTTGGGATAGGTCGGTTTGATGCTGTCCGGGTGGGGAGATCTCCTTGATTGGAGCTCTGTCAAGGCGCCTGCATCGGATGCTGCTCGGTGAAGATCGGACGGCTCTGGAGCGTCGGTTTGAACGGGCGCGCTGGTCTGAACGGCCGTGCTGGCTTGAACGCGTGGGAGGTCCAAGGTGGGGATGCCGTGCTGCGAGGGAGTCGATGATAGGAGCAGGACGATTGCTGTGCTGACGAGGAGAGCCGTGACCGCAAGAGGCAACCTGAGACGAAAAAGGGAGAGCAGGGAAGGGCAGAAAAGAGTAGGGAAAGGGGTGAGGAAGCTTGAACGAGGGTGCGTTCAGCGGTCGTGCTGCCTTGAACGCGTGGGAGGTCCAAGGTGGGGATGCCGTGCTGCGAGGGAGTCGATGATAGGAGCAGGACGATTGCTGTGCTGACGAGGAGAGCCGTGAGTGCAAGAGGCAACCAGAGACGACGGGACGAGGAGGGGAGAGCAGGGAAGAGAAGGTAAGAGTAGATAGTATTTTTGAGTAGAGACAAAGTACGATGAATGCCGGCCTAATGAGGAGATCCATGGCGAAGAGGCAACCTGAAACGGACGATTAGGGAAGACAAGGGGAGACAAGGGGAGACAAAATGCTGTTGCGTCATAACTGGTTATGATATAAAACAGCTGCAAAAGGTAAGGTAAGGAAGAAGCAACGGTGGGAGAGAAGAAGGGTGCGGAGAGGCATAGCGGATAAATCTGTGTTGGGGAATACATGCGAGGGTAAAGGAGACGGCAGGGGAGGGAGAATGTAGGGTTACAAGAGTGCTACGAGGGGAGTGATACAAAAATGCTTTCTCCGGGGCAGCGTAACGGCGGCTAAGATAGAGAGCTGGCGAAAAAAGCGTTCGGTGTACGACGGACGTTACCGAACCTATAGGCACCGTCTTGAAATGTGCTCATTAAAGCTTGATAACACATACTTACGTAAGTAGGTGGCTAGGTACGTGGAGGAAGGATACCTCATAGCCGTTGCGAGATGGAGGAACTTTTGAGGCGCCTCAAAAAAACTTCTGAGGCGCCTCATAGGTGGCTAGGTACGTGGAGGAAGGATACCTCATAGCCGTTGCGAGATGGAGGAATCTAGGTGACGCCTCATTCGGCTCGTACCTATTCCGATTAATGTGGAAGCAAATATCAAATGAGCACAGAAAAAAACTCGCCCTACGACCTAAAGAAATGGAGGATTATTGATACCACACGCATTGTTCTAACAAAATGCAGCTATCCCTGTACCATTTCGCGGCTCGTCCGACGAACGACATCTCTGGCTGGCGACGTCCACGTGGCAGAAGCAGTTAATCAAGATTCCGCCATCATGAGCCTCCACGGCTGGCGAAAAGACAATGGGGCTACCCTATCCTAGTACTCGCTGTGCAACAATGCTCACTATTCTAACGACGCAACGGTAACCAACTACTCGCTTCGGCAAACTCGCGAGTCTGCTGGGGTCTCTGCGCCGTACTGCTGATAGATTGAGGAGCTTTGGATTCAAGGTAGTAAAAGCCGACTTTGAGCAACGGAGACCAGCTAAACGCGAAATGCACGCACACACGATAGTGCTACAGTAGCAGGAATCAGTACTATACTACCCAGTCCAAAGAAGGCTCGCGGTCACGGTACTTATACTGCTAGGTTTGACGACAATGAAGAGGAAGGTGTATCGCAGAAGCGAAACTAGAAACGAAGGAACGGACACGCCGAAACGATGCGTAGGAAGAGGAATGGATAATGGTGTGTCGCGTCGTGAAGGGTTATGGCACGGGCCTTTCAAGAGGACCACCTTCGCTGGAGTCGGTGGGGAATGAGCTGGTGAGAGGGAGAGAAAGCTAGCAAATTGAAATGGGTGAATAAGGCCCACTGTCTGCTGGATTGCACTCCACCGAACCATGGCGTCGACTGTTCATGGATATGCTTGAAGGCCGTGCAGCCGAGCTGTCTGTGCAGTGTGGTACAGTTATTGCCAGCCAGCCATCGAAGGTGAATGTGAAGGTGAAGGTGACGTCACTGACGTGACGCGCGTTGTGCGAATCAACCAACCGACCGACTGACCGAAACCATGGCTTCTCTCTCGTTTTTTCGGTTGGTGATTCCAGGGTGTGCTAAATAAACCCTACACAACATTCATCCAACCACTCTGAAAAAAAAAAGTCAAACCTCTGAAGTTGTCTCTTGTAACACATGATTACAGCAGGCATTTTCTTATTCTCCCTTGATTCCATCCAGGGTGGGCGAGCCCGCGACAACACCGATCTGATTCGCCACCTTCACTGTGCCAGCCTAACGATTTTTGCGAAGGTCTTTCGCGAATTCATAAGCAACGCCGCCACCCAAAACCCCACTCACCTACCCCAGGTGGTTCTGTATCATCTATTCGTATGTGCATGACTTAACTGTAGCAGTTCCACACCGCCAGACCCATACAGTTGCACACGAAGGACAAGAACGCGTATTTTCCTTATATTATTTCTATGTGTTACGAGTGCAATTGAGTGAACGAACTAGAATTGCACTATCGAAGCAAGAGTACAATGAGCGAAGGCATGAGCGAAGAATATATAGCTAAACTACAATGGTAACGGTAATGGACTGAGGCTGTCGCGCGACGGGACTGGGACTGAGGTTGGGAAAAAGTGTCGAAGCGGAGGCCCGGAGCGCGGGTTACCCGCCGAGCCGTGAGGTCGGGGTGCGATCAGAGCAAATTTTATCAGTGTAAATCACCCTGATACCCTGATTATCAGGGTGGTTTTGGGTAGTCACACTGATGGCCTAGGGTAATTTGTTCGGGAGCTAGAATTTTCCTGATATGCCAGTGTTTACATTTAAGGCACACTGATGGCTCACGGATACCGATTTCTTAACGAGATTTACCCTGAAGCGAGTACCATACCCCCCACCCCACCCCCCCCCCCCCCCCCCCCTCCCCTTCCCCCTAACACCCTCCCCCCCAATTCGCCCTCGCACTTCCTGTCCCGCTAAGACTTGAGTTCAAATCTCGTAGCCCGCGTTTTCATTCAAAACTTCATTAGAAATACTTCATCAAGGTATTGAAAATTGTTACACTGTGGCATAAGGGTTTTTTTTTGAAACTATGAAAAACCCTGATGGAAAAGAATTTTCCGAAGGGGTCACACTTGTCAGATTTATATGACATAGCTACTGTAGGCTATAGTAGGGTAGCACATATGGGGTACAGCTTTCTAGGGTTTGTACTTGTACCCAACTTTCCCTTAGTCATTTCATTCTCGTTCAGTTTCTCATGGTATCGAGCAGGTTCCCCTGTGGCAACTGTTCCTAGGGCCCACCACCTTTTTTTTTCCTGCCCGGAGCGCGCTCTACACTGCCCGAGTCGCGCTCCCCTCTCACGGCCCCGTCGAGCCGCCCTTTCGACCCCTGTCGCGTCGCGCTTGCGGCCCCGTCGCGTCGCCCTCACGGCCCCTTCACGTCGCGCCGCCCTTGCGGCCCCGATCCGCCGCCCTCGCGGCTCCGTCGCGTCGCGCCGCCCTCGCGGCCTCTTCAAACCGCCCTCGCGAAACCCCCCCCCCCCTCCTAGCCGCCCTAGCGGCCCCGGCGCCGCCCATCCCTGCCTCGGCGCCACCTCTGCTAGCCACGTCGCCTACCCCTGCGGTCCCGGAGCTGCCCTTCCCGGCACCGGCGCCGCCTCTACAGGCCCCGACGCCGCTCCACCCGGCCCTGACGCCGCCTCTACTCGCCCCGACGCCGCTCCACCCGGCCCTGACGCCGCTCCACCCGGCCCCGCCGCCGCTCCACCCGGCCCCGCCGCCGTCCCCACGCGGCCCCGCCGTCACCACCGAGCCGCCGGCGCCGCCGAGCTGCTGCCGAGCCGCCCGAGCCACCTGAGCCGCCTGAGCCGCCGGGTCGCCGAAGCCGCAGAGCTGCAGTTGCTGCCGAGCCGCTGTACCACCAAGCTGCCCGAGCCGCCCGAGCCGCCGAGTCGCCGAGCCGCAGTTGCTGCCGAGCCGCCGTACCGCCGAGCCGCCCGAGCCGCCGAGTTGCCGAGCCGCCGAGCCGCCCGAGCCGCCCTGTCCGGTAAGAGCAGCGCCTCTATCACTGCACTGCCCTTACCCTACTGTTCGCGCTGCTAGTCTACTGCTGTCATGGCTACCCCTAGTGTCCTCGCTTTTGACGCTGAGGGTTGGGCCATTGACTTTGACGTCTGGGTAGATGACCTGCAGCTTTTCCTACAGTGCGATAGGGCAGACGGTCTCTCCCTCTTTGACCTCACCTCTGGTGCCTCTCCTGCCCCTGCTGCTGATGCCGACGCCACTGTTCGCTCACCGTGGGCCACACGCGATGCTGCTGCACGTCTTGCTGTGCGTCGCCACCTCCCTACCTCTGAGCGTGCGCACTTTAGCCAGTACAAGAGTGCTCAGACCTTGTACGACGCTGTAGTTGCGCGCTACTCCTCCCCTGCCACTGCTGCACTCAGCCGCTTCATGCTACCGTACCTCTTCCCTGACCTTGCTGCCTTTCCCACAGTCGCTGACCTCATTACGCACCTCCGCACTAGTGACACTCGCTACCGCGCTGCGCTTCGTGCTGACTTCTGCGCCAAGAACCCCGCCCCCCCCCATGTACATCACCCTCTACTACATAGTCACCTGGCTCCCTGACTCCCTTCGCGTAGTCAGGGACCACTTCCTCTCAGTTTGCCCCACCACTCTCACCGTTGACCTCCTCGAGAAGGCCCTCTTAGCAGTAGAGAAGAGCATAGTCGCTGTAGGAGCCTCTCGTGGTGACCCTCGCACCCCCGTCTTCGAGGGGTGTTCCCCCTCCCCCCTTTTGCCCTCTGTTGCCTCTGCTGCTGCGGCCGACCTTGTTGGTTTCGAGTCGGTCGGCGCTGCGTCTGCCCCGAGCGGGAAATGCCGCACCGCCAAGGGCAAGGGGGGCAAGGGTGCTGGAGGGGCTGGCGGGGGTGGCGGAGGTGGCGGTGGAGGCAGTGGAGGGGGTGGGGGTGGTGGTGGGAGTGGTGGCGGGGGTGGAGGTGTCGGTGGCAGCAGTGGAGGCGGAGGCGGCGGCGGCGGTGGCGGTGGGAGCGGAGGTGGCGGAGGTGGCGGCGGTGGAGGAGGTGGCGGTGGAGGAGGTGGAGCTGGTCGGGGTGGCGCTGCGCAGAGGGTCGGCTCCGGTGGTTGTCAGCGCCAGCAGCAGCAGCAGCAGCAGTAGCAGCAGCAGCAGCGCACTCGTGACATCCCCCCCCCTCAGCAGCTCCGTGAGTGGTACGCTGCACTCCAACGGGGTGGGGGTACTGGTCCGTGCACCTACGTCCTACGCACCGGCGACCGCGTGAATGAGCAGTGCAGGGGTGCGCACTCCACCCAGCGCTGCTTTGGCCGCCTGACGGACGCTTGGCGTCACCAGTTCCCTGAGGCCACTGAGACCCCCCGCTGGGGCGAGCTGTCTAGGGCGGGAGTAGCTGTCTTTGACCTTGACTTTGATGCTATTCTTGCTGCCATGTATGCTGTGACTATTAGTGATGAGGATGACTGTTACCGGTGTTTTCCGCCCGACCCGGGCATTGAGACTGCTGCTCTAGGTACTGGTGAGGCTGCTGGTCTAGGTGCTAGCAAGGCTGCTGCTCTAGGTGCTCGTGCGTCTGCTCCCTCAGGTGCTGGTGAGTCGGCTCTCTCAGGTACTGCATCGGCTTCGGCCTCCCTCACCTTCACCCTTGACTCGGGGGCTTCTCGCTCCTTCTTTCGAGACCGCACCACACTTACGTCGCTTGGCCGGCCAGTTGCAGTCTCTCCGGCAGACCCCTCTGGGGGTCCCGTCCTTGCTCACTTCTCCACTGTCCTCCTGTGTCCGGCGGCCCCCTCTGGCACCCTGTCTGGTCTTTACCTCCCCTCGTTCTCTACAAACTTGGTGAGTGGTGCTGACCTACAGGATGCGGGGGTTCACCAGTTCACTCCTGCGAGTCAGCGGGTGACCCACTACACGGACGCTCGGACAGGCCGACACCTGGCCACGTTTATAAGTCGGCCGGGGTCGAGCCTGTACACACAGACCACT